CATTAGATTAGCCAGCCTTGGTAGAAGCTAACTCCAATGTCTGGTTGGGCAAGACAAAACTACAAAAAAAGTGGCGTAAAGGCGCGTAGCAGATAGGCTACTCACTTTTGACGGTTATTTATAAATTGTTTATCGGGTAACGTTAGGTGTAGGCTTTATTGTCCTAATAAGGCGGCATTTATTTAATATAATCATGTACACTCAATATCTTATTCATTGCACACTATTTTATAATGTAGTAAAATACTGAGGTGCAAATAGCCTATCTAACTAGCATAGGCTAGCTAAGTTAACGTTACTTAAACTTGTTGCAAAGAAAATAGTGTTATTTTTACATAGTGTGAGAATAGAATCTATGGCTATTTTCACTTTGCAGGGCCTAATAGATAGTAGGCCTATCACTAAGAAAATACTGCTATTTTCACTTAATGTAAATATAAGCTATTTGCACTTAGTGTAAATAGCATAGGCTATATCGCGATTTGCACTTGCAAATAGAATAGCCTATCGCTATTTGCACTTAGTGTAAATAGCATCTAATTGATATTTACACTTGGTGTGAATAGCAGCCTGTTCCTGTTTGCACATAGTGTAAATAGCATTATTGCTGCCTACGTTATATGGTAGGCTACCTGTAGCCTACACGACTTTCCCCTTTCCCCAGTATAGCCTACTTGTAGCCAAGTGTGTTAATGATTAGATAACTTGAAGTGTGCTATTTTGGAACAACTAATTTTGTACTAAGTATATTTTAGTAGTAATTAAATTGTAGTAAAGCATAACTTTAAGTGTATTTAGTGTACTTTTGTGTACTAAAATGGAAAGTATATAGTATAGGCTACTTTAAGGATATAGGCTATGCCTGTGTAGAGACTAATTATATGCTTAAGTGATATTAAAGCCTACTTTATTTGTTACAAGTACATTACAAATTCATGGAGTGTCTTCGAAACATACAAGCAATATACCCAGTAAAATGTATTATTTTGAAACAACTGCAAGTATATTGTGTATTTCAAGATATGCTTAAGATAATTTTTAAGCTATTTGCACTATATTTTAATATATTAAATTGTGGTAAAATGGAACCCCTTCAAGAACATTTAAGTGTATTTCTTTAGTTCATTATAAATATACTTTCATGTCTTAAAAGTACATATAATATATTTGAAGCTTAATTGTAATGTACTTCAAGAACATTTAAATCGCATTAAAAATGTATTAGCATTACACTAATAATTTATTATAAAGCAGTTTTATTCAGTATTTAAAATGGTATATTAAAAGTGCAAAAATAATTAAATATAAATGTTAAGACATACAGACTTTCAAATCAAGAAAACTTTAATATAGTATCTTTGTTCATTACAAAATAAATACATAAGAGTACATTAAAATAGTATAGCAGCATAAATAATCTCTTGAACAAAATACATAACAAAGATCAGTGAAATGCAATGGCAGAGCTAAATTTATCATTTTTTGTAGAACATTTCAGTTATACCTGCATTACTGAAAAGTACACTATGAATATTACATCACTAAATAAATAAGCATCACAATGACATTTTCTGAAAAAATAAAAGTTACAGAAAAACAATGTGCAGAAGTGAATAATGCATTATTTACAAACTTAGGCCTGCAAATGGCTGAACCAAAGAAACAGAAGAGTTTGAATGTCACATCTTCATCTTGAAGTGGACGATCACTTCTTTGAGTACGACTCATTTCCTGCAACTGAGGGCTTGTGGTTCAGACGGTAGTATTTGAAGACTGCTTTATCACAGGATCTGTGAAAGGGAAGAAGAATTTATATAAAATGAACCAATGATTAGCATTTTTGTATCCATGTTTGAATATATGTACTAGTTTGCATAGAAATGTATTATAATTCCGTTGACTTCTCAGTTTTCCTTTAAAAGCTTTGGCTATATCCTCATCAAGCTGGACATTTGAGTCCACTTTTATCATCTTGTCTGTCGTGACTTTACAGCACTCTGTGAGTTGCATTGAACATGAGATTAGAAGAAGCCCAACACAACTTACAGTGAGCAGAGTTCAATCAAAAAGTCAGTGATATAGTTATTATCAGCAATAAAGCAACCTGTGAGTATTAGAGGGCATGTTGTATATTGATAATTGTGGTTTATTTAAACCTAAGGTATTTCCCATGAACATGTACTGTATATTGTGGTCATGCTAACATGCACTCTCTTCACCTCTGTTGCAAAGATTTAAGGAAATTAGAAGTTGTCCTAAATATTGTTTGCCAGGACAACTAGGACAAGTGACTTGCAGCTTTACAAAAAAAAAAACAATAAACAGATTTTTACATGAATGACTTAAAGGCAGCACAAATTAGACACCTGAAATGGACACTAACATTTTCCTAACTGTCAATCACCTTTTCAATAGGCCTGATTAAAAAATCTTTATAACAGAGGTGATATGAGATTAAACCACACTTACTACTCTCTTCTTCGCTTGTCTCTGCACTCAGATTTATGTTTTTCTACTATAGCAGCTGGCCTGAAAAACAACAAATATTAATATAAAAAAGAGAGAGATTACATACATACATATATATATATATATATATATATATATATATATATATATATATATATATATATATATACACTCACCGGCCACTTTATTAGGTACACCTGTCCAACTGCTCGTTAACACTTAATTTCTAAGCAGCCAATCACATGGCGGCAACTCAGTGCATTTAGGCATGTAGACATGGTCAAGACAATCTCCTGCAGTTCAAACCGAGCATCAGTATGGGGAAGAAAGTTGATTTGAGTGACTTTGAACGTGGCATGATTGTTGGTGCCAGAAGGGCTGGTCTGAGTATTTCAGAAACTGCTAATCTACTGGGATTTTCACGCACAACCATCTAAACCATCATGTCCATAAAGGGATGGACATGGTCAGAAACAATGCTCAGGTAGGCCGTGGCATTTAAACGATGCCCAATTGACACTAAGGGGCCTAAAGTGTGCCAAGAAAACATCCCCCACACCATTACACCACCACCACCAGCCTGCACAGTGGTAACAAGGCATGATGGATCCATGTTCTCATTCTGTTTACGCCAAATTCTGACTCTACCATCTGAATGTCTCAACAGAAATCGAGACTCACACCAGGCAACATTTTTCCAGTCTTCAACTGTCCAATTTTGGTGAGCTCTTGCAAATTGTAGCCTCTTTTTCCTATTTGTAGTGGAGATGAGTGGTACCCGGTGGGGTCTTCTGCTGTTGTAGCCCATCCGCCTCAAGATTGTGCGTGTTGTGGCTTCACAAATGCTTTGCTGCATACCTCGGTTGTAACGAGTGGTTATTTCAGTCAAAGTTGCTCTTCTATCAGCTTGAATCAGTCGGCCCATTCTCCTCTGACCTCTAGCATCAACAAGGCATTTTCGCCCACAGGACTGCCGCATGCTGGATGTTTTTCCCTTTTCACACCATTCTTTGTAAACCCTAGAAATGGTTGTGCGTGAAAATCCCAGTAACTGAGCAGATTGTGAAATACTCAGACCGGCACGTCTGACACCAACAACCATGCCACGCTCAAAATTGCTTAAATCACCTTTTTTTTCCATTCTGACATTCAGTTTGGAGTTCAGGAGATTGTCTTGAACAAGACCACACCCCTAAATGCATTGAAGCAACTGCCATGTGATTGGTTGATTAGATAATTGCATTAATGAGAAATTGAACAGGTGTTCCTAATAATCCTTTAGGTGAGTGTATATTATATCAAATAATATCTACGTTTTACATAATGGCGTTGGTTTGCGTTCGGATTACGAAATGACGTCATAGCGCAATGACGCCATGACGTCATTTAGCAACTTTTAGCAACAAATCGACCTGCCTTTAGCCACTTCCGCTGAAAATTAGTTGGCAACACTTTAGGGTCATTAAAGTGTTTAGGGTCATCGTCCTGCTGGAAGACCCATGACATTTGACAGAGACACAGCTTTCTGATGCTGCCCTCCAAAATATCTTGATTATTTCAGCATGTCATGAGCAAATTCAAGGCACTCTGTGCCAGAGGCAACAAAGCTGCCAAGTTGATTTTCACCCAAAAAATCTTTTGGCCCACTTTTTTTGGCCCATAAATAAAAGTGCAAGCAAATATCTTCTGATATTACTGTTCAGAGTCTTCAACTAGAGACATTAACTTTTCTGAAGGCTCAGGTTTGATTAGGGAAATAAAAGCAGTAGTTCTGAGAAGTCTGATCTCTTCAAGTGGAGGATTAGCTAGTTTCACTACACACTATCTAGGCAAACATGTCAGGCAAACAAAGTAATTAAAACACATCAGTTTCTGTTTGTACTGTCAAATTGTGTATACATTTCACTTCAACAGGAAAGCTTGGCAAACATCTTTTACCTTAAGTCATCTGCCTTGTTTCTGTGTGAACAATGTGTCATAGTACACACAGTCACTGACGAAGATTGTAGAAATTAAATGCTAAACCCACATTGCATATCGGATAAATATATATATACATGAATAAACATTGCATTTATTTAAAGCATAATCACCCAAAATTAATTAATAAACTGTGAACACTCAGATAAGCGCGACTAGCAGGAAATGTTTAGCTGAAGCCACCGCTGCTAAAGGATGCTCATAGGCTTTGTGAATGTTCAATGTATTTAGTGACATATAGTTTGGTTTGTTTGAAGGAAAAGTACACAGTGGTGTTCATTTAAATCCAAATACACACACTTCAAACCGTCTGAATCTTTCCCTCCTTTAAGTATATTTGGTTTATAAACTCACAAATATTATGTTTAATAACATTTTTTCTGCCGACAGTTTCATGTTTGTTATAGCAGTGGTGCAGAACGTTGTTTACAGTATTCTGTTAATTAGCTTCAATTTACACACATTTTTATGTACCTTAAAAATTAGATCCTGTTTCCGTAAATGATTTTTTTTACGTTACCAGCAATAGTATATAAGCCCTCCCTTTAAAAAAAATATTTTGTTCATAAGAGACCTGGCCTTCAGGTAAGTATTGCTCACTCTCTTGAATCACTTATGTTCATTCTTTTATATCTAGATTTAAAACTAAAAACATCAGGAGTGGTAAATGTATTGTTACTCTGTTACAGCCATGGAGACTCAGTCTTTTCTTTTCTGCGTGGCAGTTTTAACAGTCACTGGTAAGATAAATTATATTGTATTATAATATGGTTTCTAACCCATAATCAAGATTTAATGGCAACTAACTTTTTCTCCTAGTACTTTGGTAATGCTTTTATATACTACTAATAATGTTTGCTTTACTATATATGACTATCTATAAATACGTTTAAAAAATGGCATTGACAATATTGTGTTTTACTACAGCAGTCAGCGGATGTCCAATAGGGCGTGAATTCATCACTGCTTTTATGACAAATTACCAATATGGAAAAGCCACTCCGACTCTCTCCATAACAGCACAGGATTCCCCAGCCACTGTGAAAGTTGAGATAAAGGCACTGAGTTACAGTGAAAATGTGAACATAGGACGAGGTGAGACCAAACGGATTGTCCTGCCAGCAAATACTGAGATGGAAGGTGATGGAGTCTACCGCAAGACTGTTTCCATCTCTTCTACTGCTCATATCTCGGTTGTATCATCCAACTTAAAGGAATACACCGGAGACAGCAGTGTGATCTTCCCGATAAATCAACTTGGCAAGAGTTATGTAGTTTTTACTCCAAACACGGGTCCAAGTCCATATAAAAAGCTGGTAGCCATAATCAATGGCAATTATATGAACACAATTGAGATCGTCTCCATTTCAGGATTTTTTTGGAAAGCCACGAAGAGCAAAACCATCACTTTGGCTCCATACGAAGTTTATCAACTTCGCAGTCTGGAAAATTTGTCTGGAACGAAAATCCAATCCACGTCTCCAGTAGCTGTCCTGGCCGGACACGAGTGCTCCATGATCATAGGCACCTGTGAGCATGTCTATGAGCAGCTGGTACCAATTGAGTCTCTCTCCAACGAATACCTGGTCCCTGCAATGCATCAGTCCTTCAGCCAAGACACAGCATATGTGGTTGCCCCAGAGGACAACACTGTTGTGTCCATTTTCAATAGGCATAAGTATCCCCAAAAAAGAAAGCTAAATTCTGGAGAAGTTTTAGCTGTTGATGTGAGCAGAAATGCTAAGCTCATCCAAAGTAGCAAAAACATCATGGTAATGTATTTCAGTAGCAATTTTCCAAATGATGAGTTTCTGACCAATGTCATACCAACCTCTGAGATGTCAAAATCATGGACCATTTACTCTCAAGATGGCTATGATAACACTGTTGTTGTAGTTGCTGAAGCAGCATCAGCCTCCACTATCAGCGGTTCACTGAAATGGAAAACGTTCCCTGCTAATGACAAATTTGTATGGGCTACCAAGTCGATTGGTTCGCAGAAAGGTCCCATCACCATATCAGGTGATTCGCTGATGGCTGCTTATGTTTTTGGTGGGAAACCAAGGCATGGATATGCCACAACAGGAGTGTGTAACACAGGTAAGAAATTATGACTGAACAATGTGTTCCTTGTTTGTACAGTCAGTCAGAAATTACATATTTATTATAACTGATAGAAATTACAAAAAAAACCCTTTCTTGTGTTCCCTAAGTTTTTACGTCAACACCGCCTCCACCAGACCCCTGTGAGACTGTTAAGTGCCGTCAGCAGGAAGAGTGCAGAAAGGGTGTCTGCGTCCCCACTTCCACTGCCACATGTCAGGCAGTTGGCGATCCTCATTACAAAACATTTGATGGAAAATTATTTGACTTTCAGGGAACTTGTACTTACATCATGGCAAACAATACAAAGCCTCAAAAAGGCCTTGCACCATTTACTATCTTGGCAAAGAATAATCACCGGGGAAGTAAAAGGGTGGCATATGTAAGGACGGTTTCTGTCCTTGTGTACAATCACACCGTGGTGGCTGGCAGCCAAAGAGGAGTAGTGGAGGTAAAAGTAAAAAGCACTTTATAAAGTTTTTTGATGCATTTAAAACCACACTGAACAATAAGTAAATCTCTTTCTTTGGTGTTTGTGTTCTTGTTTTTCATTCCAGTTTGATGGCGAAAATACTTACCTGCCTTTGACTATAGATGGTGGCAAAATAAAAGTGGATCAGAGGGGATGGAATGTTATTATATCAACGGATTTTGGCTTAGAGGTTAAATATGACTGGAATATGATGTTGTATATCACAGCTCCAAGCAGCTATTTCCAGACTGTAGGTGGTCTTTGTGGAAACTATAATGGTGACCGAAGAGATGAATATATTGATCCCAAAGGCAAGGTGCTCTCCAATGTCATTGAGTTTGCCAAGACCTGGAAAGTTCCAGATAATGATTTGTTTTGTAATGATGACTGTAATGGACAATGCCCAAGTTGCTCTTTAAATCTTCAAGAGGAGTACAAAAAAGAAACAAACTGTGGTGTCATGGCTAAAACTGATGGGCCATTTGCTAGTTGCCACAACACTGTGGATCCCCACATGTATGTAGAGAATTGTGTCTATGATGTCTGTATTAACAACGGTATCAGAAACTTCCTCTGCAACAACATTCAAAGCTACGTTGATGCTTGCATGTCAGCTGGAATCAAAATCACTGGAATGTGGAGGACACTTTCCAACTGCCGTAAGTGCATAATGTATATATGTGAGAATTAAATGTATTCAATATTTAGATTAATGAATTTGAATGGAACATTGGTGCTGTTTGTTCAATTATGCTAGGATTTTGGTACACAATTAATGTGACATATAATCAGAATATTTATATTTTTGTTTTCCTCTTCTGCTCCAAGCTCTGGACTGTCCAGTCAATATGCATTATGATGCCTGTGGCACTGCCTGTGCCCCCTCTTGTGTTGATCGAGATGCCCCAGACAAGTGCACACTGCCATGTGTGGACGGCTGCCAGTGCAATGCAGGTTTTGTCCGCAGTGGAGATGAATGCATACCTGTAAAAAAGTGTGGCTGCACTTACAAAGGCCGATATTATCTAGCTGAGCAGATATTTTGGAGTGACAATAAATGCACAGAGAAATGTGTGTGCAACCCTCAAACTGGAAAGGTTGATTGTACAATGACAAAATGTAAGAAGTCCCAAGTGTGTGACACACGTAATGGAGTGAGAGATTGTTACCCAATGTCCTATAGTACCTGCCAGGGTGCAGGGGATCCACACTACCGCACATTTGATGGTAAAGCCTTTGATTTCCAAGGAACCTGTACCTATTATTTGTCCAAGCTACTCAATACAGCTGACCCATCATTGATACCTTTTGAGGTGCTGGTCAAGAATGAGAACAGAGGAAGAAACATGGCAGTTGCTTACACTAAGACTGTTTCCTTAACAGTCTATGGATACACGATTGTCTTAAGTAAAGATGACCCAGGCAAAGTGAAGGTTAGTACATTTAAAACTCTTATAAAAATAATATGAATAACTGCATAAAGGCATGAACAAATGTCATTATATGCTAACCTACAAAAAACAAACACAAAAACTTTTAACAAAAACTGTTGGTAACTTGTGTCCTAAAGGTCAACAATCTGTATGTGAATTTGCCATTTGAACAAGATGGCCGATTCTCCATATTCCGCAGTGGGTACTTTGGTGTGATAAAAACTGACTTTGATCTGACATTGAAATTCAACTGGGATAGCCACGTAGCACTGACTCTCCCCAGCACTTATTACAGTCAAGTGGGGGGGCTTTGCGGCAACTGGAATGACAATGTCAATGATGATTTGCTTACTCCTGACAAAACCCTTGCTGCAACCCCAACCATTTTTGGAACCAGCTGGAAAGTCAAGAATGACCCTGGATGCTCAGATGGATGTCAGGGCAAAGCATGTCCTAAATGTGATGCCATGGAGAGAAACAAAGTCACTTTTATAAAGCCTTGCAGCAAGATCACTGACAAACAGGGACCATTTAAAGGCTGCCATAATAAAGTGAATCCAAATCAGTTTTATGAGGATTGTGTGTATGATATGTGTATGTACGGTGGTCATTCGTCAGCACTCTGCAGTGCTCTTACTGCATACACAGCTGCTTGTCAAGATGCACTTGGCCAAGTGGAATCCTGGAGAACCGACAGTTTCTGCCGTTAGTATTCATTCCAACAACATTTACTTCTCTTTACGATTTTTAAATAACTATTGTAACTATTGTAAATATTGTGCAAATAGTCCTTAATATCATTTGTCCACAGCTGCATCCTGTATGGACAACAGCCACTATGAAGTTTGTGCAACAGGATGTTCCCAGACGTGCCGTGGCCTTACTGAGCCCAAGGGCTGTGAAGGGACTCCCTGCATTGAAGGCTGTATTTGTGATGAGGGCTTTGTCCTGAGTGATGGTGAATGTGTGCCTATGGAACAGTGTGGCTGTTCTTACGAGGGCCAATACTATCAACTGAGTCAGGAATTCTTCCCTCAGGACAAGTGCCAGCAGAGATGTGTCTGCAAAGAGAATGGAAGAGTTCAGTGTAATGATGGATTCACCTGCAAACCAAACCAGAAGTGCCAGGTTCTGAATGGAGTTCTGGGCTGTTTCCCAGAGAGCAAAGCCATTTGCTCAGTGTCAGGCTTTGGGCTTTATCAGACATTTGATGGGAAGTCCTTCACTGTTGAAGGAGACTGTGAGTATAGATTGGCAGAGACAGCTCAGAACAAGGATGAGGACATGAACTCTTTCAGTGTATTAGTCAAACAGCAGTCCTCCTCTGAGATAGTCTTTACTCGAAGAGTGGAAATACAAATAGAACAATCCACGATTACTTTGCTGCCCGGCCACATCTGGGAGGTTCAGGTAATGTACTGGTTACTGAAACGCTAACAATAGTTTTAAGTGATCAAATACTGTTGCCTACAATGTTAAAGTTTTATTTAGCTTCTTTTTTTTTTTAACAGGTGGACAATGTTAAAACCAATCTCCCCGTGACTGTGGAGGAAGGACTGGCACAAGTCTATCAGAGCGGTGTTAACATTGTTGTGGAAACAGATTTTGGATTGAAACTGACATATGATACAGTCTCCATGGCCAAAATCGAGATCCCGTCCACTTTTAAAAATGTAGTCAAAGGTCTCTGTGGTAACTACAATGGAAACAGCGCAGATGATTTTCTTCTGTCAGGTGGTATTCAGACATCTTCCGTGGTAGATTTTGCTGAGTCCTGGGTTTCGCCATCAGACAAACTGATGTGCCAAACAATTTGTGGCTCCAAATGTTTAAATCCGGACAAAGACAAACAGACAGAGGCAGAAACAGCTTGCAGTATGCTAATCACAGAGAAGGGACCATTTTCTGATTGTTACGAAAAAATTCCACCTCAGAAATTCTTTGATGAATGCGTTAAAGATGTGGCAGCACAACCAAAAGACAAGACTGTTCACTGTCGCCACATACAAAGGTATGTTGCCAGCTGTCAAGAGATTGGGAGGTCAATCAACAGCTGGAGGAATAAAACCTTCTGTCGTAAGTGGCTGCATACTTTAGGTTTAAAAATAACTCTCCTCAAGACTATTTACGTAATGCCCCTTAATGCAGCAAACAATCAATTTTTCTTTAAAATTTCAATGTTTTCTTCCAGCACTCACATGTTTCAAAAACAGTCACTATGAACTCTGCGCTGACACCTGTTCCTCGACCTGTGCAAGCCTGACAAAGTCACAGAAATGCCCAATGTGTCAGGAAGGATGTCAGTGTGATGATGGCTTTTTGTTTGATGGAGGTGAATGTACGACTTTGGATGATTGTGGTTGTAATATAAATGGAAAGTTTTACAAGGTGAGAACCTATCTGGTCTGTTCTTTTCATTTTATTTTTTACTTATTTATTTATTGTTAATTGTACTCAAACATGACACCAGTGACACCAACCACAGAAAAAAACAATGTTTTTTTTTTATCTTTCCAAACAAAATATCATTAATTTCTTTAATATATTCTGCAGTCTGGTGAGACAGTCATTCGGGGAGAGTGTGAAGAGAAATGCTTCTGCAAAGCCGGAGAGTTCTCCTGTGAACCCTTGGAATGTACTGAAGATCAGATCTGTGGCAAAAAAGATGGCGCCATTGGGTGCTACAGCAAAGGTATTTATGTTTATAAGAAGTGTACCATGAAAGCAAAATATATCATATGTTTATATACAAGGTATTTACATTTTCTCTATTTTCTCTGTTTAATCCTTCAAGCAACTTACTGTCCAGTCAACATGCATTATGATGCCTGCGGCACTGCCTGTGCCCCCTCTTGTGCTGATCGAGTTGGTCCTGCTGAGTGCACACTGCCATGTGTGGACGGCTGCCAGTGCAATGCAGGTTTTGTCCGCAGTGGAGATGAATGCATACCTGTGAAAAAGTGTGGCTGCACTTACAAAGGCCGATATTATCTAGCTGAGCAGACATTTTGGGGTGAGAAACAATGCACAGAGAAATGTGTGTGCAACCCTCAAACTGGAAATGTTGAATGCACACCAACAAAGTGTAAGAATCCCCTAGTGTGTGGCACACGGAACGGAGTAAAAGATTGTTACCCAATGTCCTATAGTACCTGCCAGGGTGCAGGGGATCCACACTACCGCACATTTGATGGTAAAGCCTTTGATTTCCAAGGAACCTGTACCTATTATTTGTCCAAGCTACTCAATACAGCTGACCCATCATTGATACCTTTTGAGGTGCTGGTCAAGAATGAGAACAGAGGAAGAAACATGGCAGTTGCTTACACTAAGACTGTTTCCTTAACAGTCTATGGATACACAATTGTCTTAAGTAAGGAAAGCCCACGCAAAGTGAAGGTCAGTTCATCAAAAAGACTCTTCTACCTGTAATATGAATAACTGCATGCATAAGCAAGTCGAATGTTAGTGTACATTCACCTACAAAAAATACACATAGTTTTGAATATTAATTTATTTGGATGAATTTGTCTTAAAGGTCAACAACCTGTATGTGAAATTGCCATTTGACCTAGAAGATGGTCGACTTTCAATATTCTACAGTGGGTACTTTGGCGTGATAAAAACTGACTTTGATCTGACATTGAAATTCAACTGGGATAGCCACGTAGCACTGACTCTCCCCAGCACTTACTACAGTCAAGTGGGGGGGCTTTGCGGCAACTGGAATGACAATGTCAATGATGATTTGCTTACTCTTGACAACACCCTTGCTTCAAACCTAACCATTTTTGGAACCAGCTGGAAAGTCAAGGATGACCCTGGATGCTCAGATGGATGTCAGGGCAAAGCATGTCCTAAATGTGAAGCCACCGAGAGAAACCAAGTCACTTTTACAAAGCCTTGCAGCAAGATCACTGACAAACAGGGACCATTCAAAGGCTGCCATAATAAAGTGAATCCAAATCAGTTTTATGAGGATTGTGTGTATGATATGTGTATGTACGGTGGTCATTCGTCAGCACTCTGCAGTGCTCTTACTGCATACACAGCTGCTTGTCAAGATGCACTTGGCCAAGTGGAATCCTGGAGAACCGACAGTTTATGCCGTTAGTATTGCTTTATTTCAAATATAATTATAACTATAACTCATTACTCTAGTTTGACACTAGTTCTTAATATGATCTGTCCACAGCTACAAACTGTAAGGCACACAGCCACTATGAGGTTTGTGCGACAGGATGCCCGCAGACGTGCCGTGGCCTCACTGAGCCCAAGAGCTGTATGGGAACTCCCTGTGTTGAAGGTTGCACATGTGACAAAGGCTTTGTCCTGAGCGATGGTGAGTGTGTGGCTGCTAAGCAGTGTGGCTGTACTGAGAAGGGTCAGTACTATCAGCTGGGTCAGGAATTCTTCCCTCAGGAAAAGTGCCAGCAGAGATGTGTCTGCAAAGAGAATGGAAGAGTTCAGTGTAATGATGGATTCACCTGCAAACCAAACCAGAAGTGCCAGGTTCTGAATGGAGTTCTGGGTTGTTTCCCAGAGAGCAAAGCCATTTGCTCAGTGTCAGGCTTTGGGCTTTATCAGACATTCGATGGGAAGTCCTTCACTGTTGAAGGAGACTGTGGGTATAGATTGGCAGAGACAGCTCAGAACAAGGATGAGGACATGAACTCTTTCAGTGTATTAGTCAAACAGCAGTCCTCCTCTGAGATAGTCTTTACTCGAAGAGTGGAAATACAAATAAAACAATCCACGATTACTTTGCTGCCCGGCCACATCTGGGAGGTTCAGGTAATGTACTGGTTACTTAAACACTAACAATAGTTTTAAGTGATCAAATACTGTTGCCTAAAATGTTTTATGTTTGTATTTTCTTTACAGGTGAACAACGTTAAAACCAATCTCCCTGTGACTGTGAATGATGGACTGGTACAAGTCTATCAGAGCGGTGTTAACATTGTTGTGGAAACAGATTTTGGATTGAAACTGACATACGATACAGTCTCCATGGCCAAAATCGAGATCCCGTCCACTTTTAAAAATGTAGTCAAAGGTCTCTGTGGTAACTACAATGGAAACAGCGCAGATGATTTTCTTTTGTCAGGTGGTATTCAGACATCTTCCGTGGTAGATTTTGCTGAGTCCTGGGTTTCACCATCAGACAAACTGATGTGCCAAACAATTTGTGGCCCCAAATGTTTAAATCCGGACAAAGACAAACAGACAGAGGCAGAAACAGCTTGCAGTATGCTAATCGCAGAGAAGGGACCATTTTCTGGTTGTTACGAAAAAATTCCACCTCAGAAATTCTTCGATGAATGTGTTAAAGATGTGGCAGCACAACCAAAAGACAAGACTGTTCACTGTCGCCACATACAAAGGTATGTTGCCAGCTGTCAAGAGATTGGGACATCAATCAACAACTGGAGGAATAAAACCTTCTGTCGTAAGTGTCTGCATGTTCCTCAAATTACCCTCTTCTTGCTTGTCCTTTTGCTGGCCTTCTTTTCACGTGGCATTTAGTCGAGGAAGATACTATGTAAAATTAAATATTCTCTCTAAAAACTGATTTCTGAGCCAGTCTCTAAAAAACAATCTTGTATTCTTCCAGCACTCGAGTGTTCGGCAAACAGTCACTATGAGCTTTGTGCTGACACTTGTTCTTCAACCTGCGCCAGCCTGACTAACTCACAGGATTGTTCACCATGTCAGGAAGGATGTCAGTGTGATGATGGCTTCTTGTTTGATGGAGGTGAATGTAAGACTTTGCAGGACTGTGGTTGTAATGTAGATGGAAAGTTTTACAAGGTGAGAAAGCATTCCAGATTCTTTCTTGCAGTAGTCAAACATCACGCTAGTCACAGGAAAAAACTGACACTTGTTGTCTCTCTTATTTTTTTCTGCAGTCAGGTGAGACAGTCATTCAAGGACAGTGTAAAGAGAAATGCCTCTGCAAAGCCGGAGTGTTCTCCTGTGAACCATTGAAATGTGATGCAGATCAGATCTGTGGCAAAAAAGAAGGTGCCATTGGGTGCTACAACAAAGGTATTTATGTTTATAACAAGTGTACCATACAAAATATATGTTTATATACCAGGCATTTCAATTTTCTCTTTTCTCTGTTTAATCCTTCAAGCAACTTACTGTCCAGTCAACATGCATTATGATGCCTGCGGCACTGCCTGTGCCCCCTCTTGTGCTGATCGAGATGCCCCAGACAAGTGCACACTGCCATGTGTGGACGGCTGCCAGTGCAATGCAGGTTTTGTCCGCAGTCTAGATGAATGCATACCTGTAAAAAAGTGCGGCTGCACTTACAAAGGCCAAGTTTATCTAGCAGAGCAGACATTTTGGGGTGAGAAACAATGCACAGAAAAATGTGTGTGCAACCCTCAAACTGGAAATGTTGAATGCACACCATCAAAGTGTAAGAATCCCCTAGTGTGTGACACACAGAATGGAGTGAAAGATTGTTACCCAATGTCCTATAGTACCTGCCAGGGTGCAGGGGATCCACACTACCGCACATTTGATGGTAAAGCCTTTGATTTCCAAGGAACCTGTACCTATTATTTGTCCAAGCTACTCAATACAGCTGACCCATCATTGATACCTTTTGAGGTGCTGGTCAAGAATGAGAACAGAGGAAGAAACATGGCAGTTGCTTACACTAAGACTGTATCCTTAACAGTCTATGGATACACAATTGTCTTAAGTAAGGAAAGCCCACGCAAAGTGAAGGTCAGTTCATCAAAAAGACTCTTCTACCAGTAATACAAATAACTGCATGCATAGCAAGTTGAATGTTACTGTACACTCACCTACAAAAAATACACATGGTTTTGAATATTAATTTATTTGGATGAATTTGTCTTAAAGGTCAACAACCTGTATGTGAAATTGCCATTTGAACTAGAAGATGGTCGACTTTCAATATTCTACAGTGGGTACTTTGGCGTGATAAAAACTGACTTTGATCTGACATTGAAATTCAACTGGGATAGCCACGTAGCACTGACTCTCCCCAGCACTTACTACAGTCAAGTCGGGGGGCTTTGCGGCAACTGGAATGACAATGTCAATGATGATTTGCTTACTCCTGGCAAAACTCTTGCTGCAACCCCAACCATTTTTGGAACCAGCTGGAAAGTCAAGGATGACCCTGGATGCTCAGATGGATGTCAGGGCAAAGCATGTCCTAAATGTGACGCCACCGAGAGAAACCAAGTCACTTTTACAAAGCCTTGCAGCAAGATCACTGACAAACAGGGACCATTCAAAGGCTGCCATAATAAAGTGAATCCAAATCAGTTTTATGAGGATTGTGTGTATGATATGTGTATGTATGGTGGTCATTCGTCAGCACTCTGCAGTGCTCTTACTGCATACACAGCTGCTTGTCAAGATGCACTTGGCCAAGTTGAATCCTGGAGAACCGACAGTTTATGCCGTTAGTATTGCTTTATTTCAAATATACTTATAACTCATTACTCTAGTTTGACATTAGTTCTTAATATGATCTGTCCACAGCTACAAACTGTAAGGCACACAGCCACTATGAGGTTTGTGCGACAGGATGCCCGCAGACGTGCCGTGGCCTCACTGAGCCCAAGAGCTGTATGGGAACTCCCTGTGTTGAAGGTTGCACATGTGACAAAGGCTTTGTCCTGAGCGATGGTGAGTGTGTGGCTGCTGAGCAGTGTGGCTGTACTGAGAAGGGTCAGTACTATCAGCTGGGTCAGGAATTCTTCCCTCAGGACAAGTGCCAGCAGAGATGTGTCTGCAAAGAGAATGGAAGAGTTCAGTGTAATGATGGATTCACCTGCAAACCAAACCAGAAGTGCCAGGTTCTGAATGGAGTTCTGGGTTGTTTCCCAGAGAGCAAAGCCATTTGCTCAGTGTCAGGCTTTGGGCTTTATCAGACATTCGATGGGAAGTCCTTCACTGTTGAAGGAGACTGTGGGTATAGATTGGCAGAGACAGTTCAGAACAAGGTTGAGGACATGAACTCTTTCAGTGTATTAGTCAAACAGCAGTCCTCCTCTGAGATAGTCTTTACTCGAAGAGTGGAAATACAAATAAAACAATCCACGATTACTTTGCTGCCCGGCCACATCTGGGAGGTTCAGGTAATGTACTGGTTACTTAAACACTAACAATAGTTTTAAGTGATCAAATACTGTTGCCTAAAATGTTTTATGTTTGTATTTTCTTTACAGGTGAACAACGTTAAAACCAATCTCCCTGTGACTGTGAATGATGGACTGGTACAAGTCTATCAGAGCGGTGTTAACATTGTTGTGGAAACAGATTTTGGATTGAAACTGACATACGATACAGTCTCCATGGCCAAAATCGAGATCCCGTCCACTTTTAAAAATGTAGTCAAAGGTCTCTGTGGTAACTACAATGGAAACAGCGCAGATGATTTTCTTTTGTCAGGTGGTATTCAGACATCTTCCGTGGTAGATTTTGCTGAGTCCTGGGTTTCGCCATCAGACAAACTGATGTGCCAAACAATTTGTGGCCCCAAATGTTTAAATCCGGACAAAGACAAACAGACAGAGGCAGAAACAGCTTGCAGTATGCTAATCGCAGAGAAGGGACCATTTTCTGGTTGTTACGAAAAAATTCCACCTCAGAAATTCTTCGATGAATGTGTTAAAGATGTGGCAGCACAACCAAAAGACAAGACTGTTCACTGTCGCCACATACAAAGGTATGTTGCCAGCTGTCAAGAGATTGGGACATCAATCAACAACTGGAGGAATAAAACCTTCTGTCGTAAGTGTCTGCATGTTCCTCAAATTACCCTCTTCTTGCTTGTCCTTTTGCTGGCCTTCTTTTCACGTGGCATTTAGTCGAGGAAGATACTATGTAAAATTAAATATTCTCTCTAAAAACTGATTTCTGAGCCAGTCTCTAAAAAACAATCTTGTATTCTTCCAGCACTCGAGTGTTCGGCAAACAGTCACTATGAGCTTTGTGCTGACACTTGTTCTTCAACCTGCGCCAGCCTGACTAACTCACAGGATTGTTCACCATGTCAGGAAGGATGTCAGTGTGATGATGGCTTCTTGTTTGATGGAGGTGAATGTAAGACTTTGCAGGACTGTGGTTGTAATGTAGATGGAAAGTTTTACAAGGTGAGAAAGCATTCCAGATTCTTTCTTGCAGTAGTCAAACATCACGCTAGTCACAGGAAAAAACTGACACTTGTTGTCTCTCTTATTTTTTTCTGCAGTCAGGTGAGACAGTCATTCAAGGACAGTGTAAAGAGAAATGCCTCTGCAAAGCCGGAGTGTTCTCCTGTGAACCATTGAAATGTGATGCAGATCAGATCTGTGGCAAAAAAGAAGGTGCCATTGGGTGCTACAACAAAGGTATTTATGTTTATAACAAGTGTACCATACAAAATATATGTTTATATACCAGGCATTTCAATTTTCTCTTTTCTCTGTTTAATCCTTCAAGCAACTTACTGTCCAGTCAACATGCATTATGATGCCTGCGGCACTGCCTGTGCCCCCTCTTGTGCTGATCGAGATGCCCCAGACAAGTGCACACTGCCATGTGTGGACGGCTGCCAGTGCAATGCAGGTTTTGTCCGCAGTCTAGATGAATGCATACCTGTAAAAAAGTGCGGCTGCACTTACAAAGGCCAAGTTTATCTAGCAGAGCAGACATTTTGGGGTGAGAAACAATGCACAGAAAAATGTGTGTGCAACCCTCAAACTGGAAATGTTGAATGCACACCATCAAAGTGTAAGAATCCCCTAGTGTGTGACACACAGAATGGAGTGAAAGATTGTTACCCAATGTCCTATAGTACCTGCCAGGGTGCAGGGGATCCACACTACCGCACATTTGATGGTAAAGCCTTTGATTTCCAAGGAACCTGTACCTATTATTTGTCCAAGCTACTCAATACAGCTGACCCATCATTGATACCTTTTGAGGTGCTGGTCAAGAATGAGAACAGAGGAAGAAACATGGCAGTTGCTTACACTAAGACTGTATCCTTAACAGTCTATGGATACACAATTGTCTTAAGTAAGGAAAGCCCACGCAAAGTGAAGGTCAGTTCATCAAAAAGACTCTTCTACCAGTAATACAAATAACTGCATGCATAGCAAGTTGAATGTTACTGTACACTCACCTACAAAAAATACACATGGTTTTGAATATTAATTTATTTGGATGAATTTGTCTTAAAGGTCAACAACCTGTATGTGAAATTGCCATTTGAACTAGAAGATGGTCGACTTTCAATATTCTACAGTGGGTACTTTGGCGTGATAAAAACTGACTTTGATCTGACATTGAAATTCAACTGGGATAGCCACGTAGCACTGACTCTCCCCAGCACTTACTACAGTCAAGTCGGGGGGCTTTGCGGCAACTGGAATGACAATGTCAATGATGATTTGCTTACTCCTGGCAAAACTCTTGCTGCAACCCCAACCATTTTTGGAACCAGCTGGAAAGTCAAGGATGACCCTGGATGCTCAGATGGATGTCAGGGCAAAGCATGTCCTAAATGTGACGCCACCGAGAGAAACCAAGTCACTTTTACAAAGCCTTGCAGCAAGATCACTGACAAACAGGGACCATTCAAAGGCTGCCATAATAAAGTGAATCCAAATCAGTTTTATGAGGATTGTGTGTATGATATGTGTATGTATGGTGGTCATTCGTCAGCACTCTGCAGTGCTCTTACTGCATACACAGCTGCTTGTCAAGATGCACTTGGCCAAGTTGAATCCTGGAGAACCGACAGTTTATGCCGTTAGTATTGCTTTATTTCAAATATACTTATAACTCATTACTCTAGTTTGACATTAGTTCTTAATATGATCTGTCCACAGCTACAAACTGTAAGGCACACAGCCACTATGAGGTTTGTGCGACAGGATGCCCGCAGACGTGCCGTGGCCTCACTGAGCCCAAGAGCTGTATGGGAACTCCCTGTGTTGAAGGTTGCACATGTGACAAAGGCTTTGTCCTGAGCGATGGTGAGTGTGTGGCTGCTAAGCAGTGTGGCTGTACTGAGAAGGGTCAGTACTATCAGCTGGGTCAGGAATTCTTCCCTCAGGACAAGTGCCAGCAGAGATGTGTCTGCAAAGAGAATGGAAGAGTTCAGTGTAATGATGGATTCACCTGCAAACCAAACCAGAAGTGCCAGGTTCTGAATGGAGTTCTGGGTTGTTTCCCAGAGAGCAAAGCCATTTGCTCAGTGTCAGGCTTTGGGCTTTATCAGACATTCGATGGGAAGTCCTTCACTGTTGAAGGAGACTGTGGGTATAGATTGGCAGAGACAGTTCAGAACAAGGTTGAGGACATGAACTCTTTCAGTGTATTAGTCAAACAGCAGTCCTCCTCTGAGATAGTCTTTACTCGAAGAGTGGAAATACAAATAAAACAATCCACGATTACTTTGCTGCCCGGCCACATCTGGGAGGTTCAGGTAATGTACTGGTTACTTAAACACTAACAATAGTTTTAAGTGATCAAATACTGTTGCCTAAAATGTTTTATGTTTGTATTTTCTTTACAGGTGAACAACGTTAAAACCAATCTCCCTGTGACTGTGAATGATGGACTGGTACAAGTCTATCAGAGCGGTGTTAACATTGTTGTGGAAACAGATTTTGGATTGAAACTGACATATGATACAGTCTCCATGGCCAAAATCGAGATCCCATCAACTTTTAAAAATGCAGTCAAAGGTCTCTGTGGTAACTACAATGGAAACAGTGCAGATGATTTTCTCCTGCCAGATGGTATTCAGACATCTTCCATGGAGTACTTTGCTGAGTCCTGGGTTTTGCCATCAGATAAAATGATGTGCCAAACAATTTGTGGCCCCAAATGTTTAAATCCGGACAAAGACAAACAGACAGAGGCAGAAACACCTTGCAGTATGCTAATCACAGAGAAGGGACCATTTTCTGGTTGTTACGAAAAAATTCCACCTCAGAAATTCTTCGATGAATGTGTTAAAGATGTGGCAGCACAAACAAAAGACAAGACTGTTCACTGTCGCCACATACAAAGGTATGTTGCCAGCTGTCAAGAGATTGGGACATCAATCAACAACTGGAGGAATAAAACCTTCTGTGGTAAGTGTCTGCATGTTCCTCAAATTACCCTCTTCTTGCTTGTCCTTTTGCTGGCCTTCTTTTTACGTAGCCTTTAGTTGAAGAAGATACTGTGTAAAATTAAATATTCTCTCTAAAAACTGATTTCTGAGCCAGTCTCTAAAAACAATCTTGTATTCTTCCAGCACTTGAGTGTTCGGCAAACAGTCACTATGAGCTTTGTGCTGACACTTGTTCTTCAACCTGCGCCAGCCTGACTAACTCACAGGATTGTCCACCATGTCAGGAAGGATGTCAGTGTGATGATGGCTTCTTGTTTGATGGAGGTGAATGTAAGACTTTGCAGGACTGTGGTTGTAATGTAGATGGAACGTTTTACAAGGTGAGAACGCATTCCAGATTCTTTCTTGCAGTAGTCAAACATCACACTAGTCACACATCACACTAGTCACAGGAAAAAACTGACACTTGTTGTCTCTTATTTTTTCTGCAGTCAGGTGAGACAGTCATTCAAGGACAGTGTAAAGAGAAATGCCTCTGCAAAGCCGGAGTGTTCTCCTGTGAACCATTGAAATGTGATGCAGATCAGATCTGTGACAAAAAAGAAGGTGTAACTGGGTGCTACAAGAAAGGTAAGTATATCTATAATGAACATTGTAAAGAATTTCCCAATGAGGTTTAAATGAAACCATAATACAGATGTACACCTCTGTTCCAGATCCTTGCAGTAACTATGAGTGCCGTGAACAAGAGTACTGCACTGTAAAGGACAATAAGGCACTGTGCGTTGCAAAGTCAAAGGCCTCTTGCATTGCCAAAGGAGATCCTCATTACAAAACCTTTGATGGAAACCATTTCTCCTTCCAGGGTACTTGCTCCTATACTTTAGTTAAAACTTCAGGCAAAGACCTAACACTAACACCTTTCAGCATCGTCAACAAGAATGAGATGCTCAAAGGCACACGTGGTTCTTATGTGAAGTCAGCCACCATTACAGTCAGAGGACATGACATCACTTTCATCCAAGGCAACCGCAATCACGTGACAGTAAGTCAGTACCATCAAGTCAATGTTAAAACATCTCAATGTCCCTCTAAGGTAATATTGTATATTTGGGGAAGCCAACCTTGCACCCAGAGGGCTACCTTCTAACAGACTTCAGTTCCGATTCTTTACTTAATATGTCTGTTGCTTGCTCTCATTTTATCCTATCCAGATTGATGGCACAGTTTCAAACCTTCCTGTAAGTTTAAACTCTGAGGGGATCAACGTAACGCAATCGGGCACTACAGGGGTCCTGCAGACAGATTTTGGCTTGGAGGTCATGTTTAATTGGGCGGATACCCTCATGGTGACATTGTCCAGTAGCTATTATAATAACATAGTTGGAATGTGTGGAACCTACAGTAATGACCTGCAGGATGATTATGTCACACCGAGTGGTAACAGCATGACAGACATCACAGAATGGGCAAAGTCTTGGAGTGTCCCTGAAAGCAACAGCAACTGCTGGCACTTTCCCCCTTGCTCAGATGATAAGAAGTTACTATATAGTGGACAAAGCTACTGTGGCTTGTTAGAGAATGCGAAAGGCCCATTTGCCCAGTGCCATGACATCATTTCAAAGAGGCGATTCGCTGCTGACTGCCTTTTCCAAATGTGTCTCAATGATGGAAGTCAAAATGCTTTCTGCAATGCCTTCAATAATTATGTGTCCTCCTGTGCACTGGTAAAGGCTGACGTGTCTCCAGAGTGGAAACAGCTCGCGAAATGCTGTAAGTGGCCATGACTCAAAATCTTTGTTTAATATATGTTACATTAATGCTAATACCTTTCCTGTCTTTTATTCCCAACAGGATGAAGATATATTTCTCAAGTCGCTTGGATCCCAGTGAAAATGCAAATTACTAAATAAATAATATTCTGTTTTGCATTTCACAGTTAATATATTGACATATAACATATAACAGTTTTTGTCATTACTTAATAACAGTTTTTGTCATTACATAATATCACATTATGTAATATTAGATTTGGTGTTTAAAATTGATGTTTAAGTGAGTTTCTTTTCTTGAATGACTACATATAGATTTGTCCTATCCACAAATCAGTCTATAGTTAATCTTGGGTTAAATTACTCTGTTTTAAACTTGATTTATTCCCTTCAAATGCTTTCATAATTAACATTCTTATTAAATTCTTGCATCAATGTGCATTATGTTGATTTCATTTAGCTGTGTCATTTCCTGTGTCTGTTATTATAAGTGCCAAAAGTCATTAACAGAAATATAGGTTATGCCAACCGTATGTTTCATTTCAGTTTTTCATTTCAGTTTTTATTAGAGGATATCCCCTTGAGATGGAACATCTAATTTTCGAGGGGGTCCTCAAGATAACACCAAACACTTACACATTCGCACATACTAAAGCTCTTCCTCACAACCAACCACCCCAACCTGTCCCACCTCTGTCCAAAGCATTTTCACATAAACAATATAGTATGACATTAAGATATTAGAGGAGAGAATCATATTTGACGAAACCACAAAAACAAACAAATATAACCTACATATACATACCAATACAAAAATACATACCTATATACACATATGCATACAAACGTGCATGCACTGCACATACATAATTTCTTACTAAGGGCATTAGAGACACAAAAGCTCATATAGGAAAACATATACATTGGTCACACGGTTGCAAATAAGTTAAAATGGCTGACTTAAAGAGTGGAAAGGAAGAGGTAGGCTATATACAGTTGTTACCTTATTACCCTTGTTACCTTAAATAACAAGGTAAACTGTTCCAATCTGAGGGGGCTTTGAATTTGAAAGCACGTCTTCCAATTTCTTTAGATATCTTTGGGACAGAAAAAAAGGGATGATCAAGGTGTCTCAGGCCATAAGTTGACCTATATAGGACTAAATGTTGCTTCAAATAAAAAGGATAATTAAAAAATATACATTTATAAACAAACTGAAACCAGTGTAGCTGACGTCTAGCCTTTGGTGATAAAAGATTCAATTGTTGATACATATGACAATGATGGGTTAGAAACGGACATCTCAACACAAATCGACAGAGACTGTTATAGACTATATTTAAGGATTTAAGGTGTGATTCTGTTGTACTCATATAGACAAAGTCAGCATAATCAATAATAGGAAATAGAAGCTGAGTTACAATTCTTAGTCTAATCAATTGTGTAAAGCAATTAATTGAACGGTATAGTAGTCTCAAATTATAATTTACTCTTTTCACTATATAGTCAATACAAGGCCTAAAAGAGAGGCTGGAGTCGAGCCAGAGGCCCAAGTATTTAAATTCCTCAACATTCTCCACAAATGTACCATCTGAGAATTTAAATGTTAAACTATTGCATTGTTATGTCAGGCAGATCTTGTGGAAAATAACATACTGTAAGACTTACTTTTATTCAATATAAGTCCATTATTCGAGAACCACTTTTGAATAGTATTAAAATCAAGTTGCAGTGATGATTGAATTAAATTAATATCACGTTTTGAAGAATAAATGACTGTATCATCATCAGCATACAAGAGAATTTTACTATCAGAGCACAATTGTGGGAGGTCATTAATGAAGATGGAAAATAAAAGAGGGCCTAAACAAGAACCTTGAGGAACACCCTTTTCCATTATCATGAACTGAGAGAGAGCACCATTAAAATTTACACACTGACGTCTGTAGTGAAGATATGAATTAAACCATAAAATGGACTGTTCGGAGAGACCAATATTATATAATTTATCAAGGAGAATATAATGATCAACCAGATCAAACGCATTGGTAAGATCTATAAATATTGCTCCAGTGGACATATTATTGTCCAAAGAAGATGTAACATCATTAACAAATTTTGTAAGAGCAGTAGTGGTGGAGTAATTGGGCCTAAAACCTGATTGGTTTGGAGAAAAAATAGAAAACTCATTCATGTATTTAAACAGTCTCTTGAATATAATTTTTTCAAATACTTTTACTACATTACTAATAATTGAGATTGGTCTATAATTGTTAGAATCAAGAGAATCACCACTTTTGTATAAAGGTGTTACTCTAGCACACTTCCACATGTCTGGAACTTTGCAAGTAGATATAGATAAATTAAATAGATCACATAATGGATATGCTAGAACATGAGAAGCAATTTTAATAAACTTTATCTCCAGACCATCTATACCAACACCACTTCCAGATTTACAGTAATTTCGGAGATTGCCTGCTGTACCTCAGTGGGAAGAATTGTAGTAAATGAAAAATAGCTGTTTACTACATTACTATTTACAGGGTTGGACTAACAAAAATCAGGTGGACGTAAATTACAAACAGAAGAAAAGTGCTGATTAAAGGCGTCAGCTACAGAAATTGGATCACTTATAATATTATTATTTATTCTTAATTTTGCAAGGGAATTCTTATTAGATTTATTCAACAGGCAATTAAGTTTTTTCCAAAAATGTTTTGGATTTGTAAAATCATTTGATAGTGAATTTTTATAATAATCAGATTTGGCATTTCTTGTTTTAACAGTACATTTCTTAATCGCTTAAATTCAATCCAATCTGACAGATCTTTTGTTAAATGATATCTTTCCCAGGCTTTGTCCCTTTGCTTAAAGAGATATATTAAGTCACCAGCAATCCATGGTAGATGTCTACCCTTCACTTTGACTGATGCCCATGGAGCATGTTTATCTATAACTTTTAATACCTCAGTATGAAAGAAATTCCAGGCATCATCAACATAAGGAATTCAATCCATCCTGTCCCAGTTAATACATAACAAATCTTGAGTAAATGCATCATTATTCATATTTTTAAATTGTCTTACCTTGATTATTTTAGGTGGTAGACGAGGTAACCTTATTTTCCAGATACAAAAGATAACTGAATGATCACTGAAGCAATCCGGTAAAACACCTGAATCAGCAATTCTATTGGGATGCGTAACCAGGATCCAGTCTAAGAGAAACCTGGAGTTCCCCTCCACTCTGGTAGGTTCCTGTATTAATTGAGTAAGATTTAAGCTTTCAAACTGATTCCTCTCTTTCAAAGAGGACCTATCAAGCCAATTTCGATTGAAATCTCCCAAAACTATAATTTCGTCAAAACAATTTAAAGAATTAATAGTACGAAGAATATTATTAGTTGATTCGGATGGAGAGTTAGGGGGTCTATATATGTTGATCAACCGTTTATTTTGATGAAGACATATTCTAACAAAAAGGCAATCAAAGTGCATGGGGCTTTCACTTGCAATAATAAATTCAGAAGATAAATTTGCAGAAACATAAGTAGCGACTCCTCCACCACGACTGCCTCTGTCTGCTCTATATAAATTATAGCCATCAAGACTTATTTCATCATCACGTACATTACTATGTAACCAAGTTTCAGACAGAGTAATAACAGCAGGTTTGATGTAAGAGAGCCATGCTCTAAGAAGATCAATTTTATGAGGTAGACTCCTAATATTTAAGTGGATAACTAATAAACCTTTAACCATAGTCATTCAGAAGTAGATAAGAGAGAGGGACATGGGATTGTAGGAAGAGCAACACACAGAGACACACACACATCCACACTCGTTTCTCCAGGCATACATAAACAAGCACAGACTGCATGATCCAAAACATTGAAAGAAAAAAAGAAAAAAAGGGAAGAGGAAACAGACTATCTGCCAATATATAGCCTACTGAATGTTGTATTTACATTATTTACTTTTTAAACTCCCAATATGAACAAAACAATAGAAAGCACATTCTTGTAAAAAATAAATCTCACCATACAACTAAAGAGAATATGCTTCAACTTTTTATCAGCAATGGCTTATAGAGCACAATTTACTTAAAGTAAGGGGAGAATTAGAAAGATCTATAGGCAATTAAATTACACCATTTTACAGATTACACCATTTTGCAGCAAGTTCCATCGAATAAAGTAACGTCAATCAACAAGTAAAGTCAGTCAGCATTTTACAGTGCCTTGTAGAAAACAGTTCGCTTCTGCTGGAGTTTTAAACAGATGAGGATTCCCATTGAAGATAATCCTGAGAGTGGCCGGGTAAATCAGAGTATATTCCAATTTACGTTGTTGGAGTTGTTTCTTGATATCATCGAATTGACGTCGCTTGCTAAGCAAAGCAGCACTAAAGTCAGGAAATATATGGATACGATCAGGGATGTAGTGGAGGCTAAACGCACGTAAACGCCGTTTACGCACCTCCCAATATTCGGAAATAGCGTTTACCCACCTCCAAAGTGCGTTTATCCACCTCTAAATTGCGTTTATCCACCTCTAAATAGCTATAAATTAAGCTTATGTCGTTTTAGTTTCATTTTGTTAATTATTAGTTTCTTAGGTTGTTAAACCTAAGACGAACTCTTTCATATTGCGCTGCATTACTGTCAGTGTTGTTGACTATTACTGACGGTGGTTGCGCTGTTGACGCTCGCGCAGCCTCTCGAGGAGAAATCTACACAAATGAGCGCACACACACTCAGTTAACGACATACTGCCTATAAAAAATCTTAATGTGGAGTTTTTATATTTTTAACATATGTTAAGCAACCTCGATTATTTTTCCTGAACACCATCACGATTGAAAATGTGACATTGATTTCCTACAACAGTTCAATAAACAGTTAAAATTAAGTCACTTACATTTTAGATGCAATATTGGCTGTTTTTATTCTGTTTCAGCAGCGAAAATAGTTCCAAACAAAAATCACAGCAGAACCACGGCGCATCTCACAGGAACACTCAACCTGTTTTCATTACTGAATGATTCAGCATTTTGAACGAATCGATTGAGTCAAAGATTCAATGACCCATTCATAAACATCTGTCTCAATCTTGAATGAATCAGCCGTTTGAACAAATCGTGAATGAATCAATGACTCACTCATTAAGACGGTCGCCTGCCGCCACCTACTGGCGGTTTCGTGTTATGTTTAAAAGTAGATCATTCTTTCCAATGTTTCTTATTTGTAAATTTAAATCAATTTCATAACATTATTTTATGCAATTGTAATTTTTCAGTGTAAATGATTTAATTTGATCAGCCCTATAGTGTCTTATTATTCGAAATAATTGAATTTATTGATCAAATTTAGGAATTTAAAATGAAAGATGAAGCATACATTTAATAATATTGGGGAGGGGATGCCCTTTAAAGGTGCAAATATTACAATATGCCGATTTAAATATCAAAGCTAATTGAACACTGATGAGAATATTGTTTCAGAATAAATTAACAAAAAAAAACAAAAAAAATCCTGACGAGAAACTTTTTTACTCGGACAAGTGAATGACAGATTTACTTGTCCTAAGGTCAGGACAAGCGTATGAAAAGGCTTAATGTCGAGCCCTGCCTAATAGCAATGTCATCAGGACATCAGGATACACATACGCAGTGGCCCACCTTACCGGGTGACCACGTCGTGGTCCACCAGAATTTATAGTTTACCCACCTCTTTTTTTACCACTGCACCTCTGGATACGATCACCATTATACTCAAGTTGTTTTTTCTCCCGGGCAAGTCGGAGGATTTTATGCCTATCAAGGAGACTGAGACACTTTACCATAATCACCCTTGGCCTGGCGCTGTCCTTGATCCGATGCATTGGAGAGCGGTGAGCCCTCTCTATAGCTGAGGGTGTAGTGAAGCTTTCTTTCCCGAATAGCTGCTGGATCAGACTGGAAATAAATCCACATGTGTCTTTGCCCTCCGACTCCTCGGGAACATGAATAAAGCGCAGGTTAATAAACCCTGTTACGATTCTCGGCATCATCCACCTTGTCCCGCAGGTAAGCGTTTTCACTCTCAAGTGTTATGATTCGTTTTCCAAGATCAGATATATTATCCTTATTGCCACCGACTCTTTGCTCAAGCTCTGATATATATTCTCCCAAGTTTGATAAGGAAAGCTTTATTGTATCTAAGTTCATCTGTAGATTGTCCATCTTTACATCAAAATGGGAAACCATTTCGGACTTTAATTGTTGCAGTGCGTCCAAGAGAAATTTATTTGATGCGGACTGCTCCATTGTAGCACTTGCACAGATCAGAGCTGACTGCTCCTTTTGTAGAGCTTGCTTAAATCAATAATCAGCGAAAACTTTGTATGTAGGCTTTCAGATTAAATATAATTCTTATCGCAAATTTAGTTGAAGACAAATAATTCCATAATTAGCAGACCAGTCTGCACCAAACACTCACGCCGCCGCCGTATGTCACCTTCTAATATTGACATATCAATAATTAGGAAGTATTTTATAGACATTCAACTGCTCCAGACACATCAAAGCATCCACCAATTTACAACAGTTAATATTCCAGATGCTGTTCAACACTCACACTAACCAATGAATTTTCATTGAAAATGCTACCTTGTGCTAGCCTGGTCCCACCAGACTCTCGTACATATCATTTGTACAGAGAGTCTGACCTCGCTCCATTGACAAGCGTTAACTTCCTTGTAGGCGGGTACTCTGTTGAAGTTTAAAACTATTGGATCTGCCCAGAGCCACTCTGGATCTGCCATAACCAATCACTAACGTTTGGTCGTGACGTGTGACGACTCAAACTAGCGCACAACATCAATAGCTGCGTCCCAATTCGCCTACTTATACTACGCCCTAAAAGTATGTACTCTTTTTGTGAAGAAAAAGTACATACTTTTGAGTGTGTAGCAAAAGAGTAGGCAAGCTTTGGGACATACTACTTCGTCATCTTAAACGGACAGATCTGTCGCGTGCATCCTATCACCGTAAACTGCCCTGTCAATCATCTCGTCACAGTTAAAATCCTCCATTCAATCTAATATAACTTCTTACCATTTCGGAGAGAATTGTTGTCGCACATTCATCTGCCAGTCATGGGTCTTTCATGCGGAGACTCTCCTCATGTGTTTGGAATTTGAATATAATAATGCATTTAAAAGGTAATGGCTAAACGTATCTTTGCAAAAGTTCACAATGCTGCTGCAGATGCAATATAATGTGGACAACATTGAATAAATACATTTTCGTCAGGTTATGGCGCTTTTCCACTACACAGTACCAGCTCGCCTTGGCTCGGCTCGACTCGACTCGACTCGCCTTTGTTTGGTTTTCCACTGTGTAAAAGTTGTACCTGTACCTGCTTTCGGGTACTTTTTTTCGTACCACCTCCGGCGAGGTTCTAAGCGAGCTAAGGCGATACTAAAATGTGACGTAATACAATGCCGACTGCTGATTGGTCAGAGAGAATCGTCACTATTCACTGCGTCATCATTGCACGCGGCAGACGGAGTATCCAGAATAACCAGAGAATAACCCCGCCATTTTTAAATAGTTTGCCCAGATATACTAAACTTACTATTATGGCAACTCGGAAGAATACGCCGTGGTCAAACGAGGAGGTGCAGACTTTCCTATGTTTGGTTGCCGAAGAAAGGATCCAGCGAGAGCTTGATGGGGCAACTAGGAACGAAAAAGTGTATCAAGAAATCTCCGAACTGCTGTCCACACATGGCTACAACAGGACTTTCCAGCAATGTAGGGAAAAGTTAAAAAAACTGAAAAGTGACTACAGAGCTGTAAAGGACCACAACGGCCGCAGTGGTTCAAACCGAAAAAGCTGGAAGTGGTACGAACAGATGGACGGTATCTACGGCCATAGACCGGCGAGCAACGGGAGGGAGGGTGGACTTGACTCGGCCACCAGTTTGTTGGAGTCGCTGATGGAGGATGGTAAGTGTTTTAAATTTACATTACATTAATCATGTAGGCGCACTCTGCTTGAGAGTTTTGTTTTCTGTAGGCTGGCTTTTGAAAAGCTGAAGCTCACTTATAACATCGAAGACTGTAAACTTGTGTCGCAGATAACAATTGCTGCTACCGCTAACTATCTGCCATTGCTATTTTCGTATTGTGTTGACTTTTGTATGATCTTTCTATCTAGATTCCTTTTCGACGAGCGAGAATGGTTCAGTGACTCCCACTGATGCCACGTCGGCACCAGAACCAGCGGCACCATCGACACCAACAAGATCAGCAGCGTCGACACCGAGACCCGCAGCAGCGTCGACACCGGCAACCGGTTAGTATAATTGGAGAAAAAGTAAACTCTTCTAGCCTGTTGTCTGTGAATCTATACACAGTTTTTAATATATCATTCATCGTATCAATAACTCATTAATATAACGTAAACGTACTTGCATAACAACAGGAAGCATTCCCAGTTATGGGAATGCAGGATTCATTAATAAACCTGTTCAGTATTTTTATAACTTTCCAGACGTACACCTATACTGTACACATGGTATTTTAAAGTTGACATTTACTAAAATAGTTGGGCTCAGATGTTAAGTCGTTATATACTATATAAGTAATAGTAAGTTGTGGGCTTGTCTTTTTTTATGTAGAAGCTGTAATGATAATACATGTGAACAATTTACAACACACACAACCTTTGAATGAAACGTGACTTGTCCGTTTTTCTTTATAACTCATTCATTGTAATTATTTTTTGGCCAGGACGGAGGAAACGAAAGAGGGAACAGGAGCATCTGACTGTCCTGAGGGAGATGCAGACATCGGATGTCGAGCAGCTGGAATTGAACCGGGCACAGCGGGAGCGCCATTTACAGATGGCACTCGATGATGCAGCACATGCCCGAGAACTAGAAGCGGCTTTAAGGAGAGAGGAGATGGCTACAATGTCGTCCTTCAACCAGGCCTTTCTGGGAACCCTGAGCCAGCTTGTCCAGGCACTGAACCGGCGGGATGCTGTTCCACCGCCCCTGGACTGAAACCCCTTTGTTTATTTTAATTTAATGTTTGCACTACATGTAACATATGTATATAGTTGGATGTGTGAATTTATATTAATATTATATTTTTTTCTATTTGTATGCGTGTTTAAATAAAACCTTTTTGAAACTTATTACAAACAGTGTCTTTTTTTGATGGTTTGCTTTTTTACAAGGGTTTAAACAAGTATTTTCAGATTTTATACTGTGATAACCTTTAATGAAAAACAGCAGAGACAACATATTTAATGATAATGTATTTATTTAGCAATTAAAATAACGCATCAGACCCTCCCGTACATCTCTGCCCTCCTCCTCAACACCCTGTGCCACTGGCACCACAGGCTCTGCTGCTGCAGGTGCATCCCAGTCATCGTCATAGTCCTCTCCATGACTCTCACAAAGGTTATGCAAAGCACAGCAAGTAAGAATCATAGATTTCACGATTGTAACATCGCAGTCATTTCTTTTCATGAGGCAACGCCACCTTCCCTTCAGTCTACCAAAAGCGTTTTCAACCACTACCCGTGCTCGACATATTTTCTTGTTGTAGATCTGCTGTTCTACTGTCAGCCGTCCAGTGTCAGTGAATGGCTTTAGGAGCCAGTTCTGCAGGGGATAGGCAGAATCTCCCAGGATGTAGTAGGCAACATTCACCCCACCAATATTCCTTGTGTAAGCTGGAAAGTGGCCAACGGCCACTGGGACTGCAACAGCCACGGCTGGCCAACTCCCACAATGTGGAGAGTCTTAAAACACGAGCATCATGCAAGCTGCCAGGCAGTCCTGCAAACACGTTCCAGAACAGTCCTTTTCCATCTACAACACCTTGAAGGACGATGGAGTGCCAACCTTTACGGTTGAAATAGTCACAGTGGTACTCCTGTGGTGCCAAAATGGGTATGTGTGACCCATCAATAGCACCAACACACTGCGGGAGCCCCCATCTGTTCTCAATGTAGGCAGCCATTTCTTCAAACTTCTCCTGGTCTGGGTAACGGATTTGTTCGGGAACCAACAACGTTTCTGCAGCAGCAGTGAACTCTTGAACACACCGGCAAACAGTTAATATGCTTACTCCGAAAAGATGGCCGACAGTTCTGTACTCTGAACCGGTCGCAAGCTTCCATAGAGCGATGGCCACTCTCTTCTTTAGAGGAACACACTTGCGGAAGCTTGTGTCTTGTCTCTCCATCACTGGACGCAGTTTGTTGTACAAATATATGAATGTTTCTTCCGACATTCTGAAGTTCTGAACCCACTGCGCGTTTGTGAAACCAGGAACAATAACATCCCACCACTCGGTAGCTCGGTTGAAAGCCCAAACAGACGGTTTGCCGCGGCGACTTTGCAAAGCTAAACAGATCTGAAACACATAAACCATGCACATTTTAGTACGTAATACTGGTAGCTATAAAGTTGATTAAATACTTTGCATATAGTATTTACACATATGCAAACGTTAGCTATGTTAGCATAACTTACCCTCTTGCGTCGGCTTTGAACAACCGGATTCGTCTCGTAGTCTGAACTCTGTAGTAATTCCCAAACTCTCCTGTTTTTTTCAGCAGTGTTTCGTTTTGCTACCCTCAGCCTCTCATGAAACAACGTTTGTCTTCTTGCTGTGAGAAACAGCCACATCCCGAGGATCAAAAACAGCATACACTCGATTTCCTCCATTGTCCTGTGTGTGTGGGTAGCGGATGTGTGTCGCGTATAAGATTACGTCACGGCAGTTTCCTGCGGCGTCGCTATGACGACCGGGTACTATTTGTGGCGGTACTATTTGCAATGGAAAACGGAGCGAAAAGCGAGCCGAGTCGAGGCGAGTCGAGCCGAGTCGAGCTGGTACTGGTAATGGAAAAGCGCCATTAGATACTGATAATTAATCACTCAAACCCCTTTATCTAAACCTCTCTACATAACCGTCGGACTCGCGCGTCCTCCATGTCTGTAGTTTTTGAACACTTTTCATTCGTGTTTGTAGTTCTAACCGAATCCTCGTCCAACGCGCGATGGGTTGTGGGCAATATCAGCCGTTAGAGTGCGCATCGATCTGCACTTCGGATTCTGACCGGATATAGTAGACCATCCGGGTCTCTTTGGGACACTCATTTCAACATACTACGATTTGGGACGTACTAATTCTATTTTCGAATACTATTTAGGACGGATAGTATGCGAATTGGGACGCAGCACAAGTTATCGTTCTCAGCCACTCCCTCTGTTCGCTGATTGGACCGGTAAAAAATAGACCGGAGAAAACCAAAGAATACGCCACAAACCCAGACGTAGTACTGAAGGAAAATGAAATTTGAGCGGAAGTACGTAGGAGGGCAGATCCAGGCTAACATTGTGCAGCCTAGGAATATATATAGTGTCTTGCATTTAAGTATTCAAAACCATTTATTTATTTCACATTTTGTTATGCATAACATACATAACATAAGCAGTTATGTCTTGTTAAACTGCTTTACGTTACTTTTTTTCACATAAATCTACACTCTATACACCATAATGACAAAGCAAATAAAAAATCTCCATCTACTCCAACCAAGGCCCTTCTCCATTGATTGCTCAGTTTGGCCAGGGGGCCAGCTCTAGGAAGAGTCCTGGTTGTTTCAGACTTCTTCCATTGAGGATTATAGAGGCTACATGTTTCTGTGAACCTTCAATATAGCTGTTTTTTTTTTTTTGTCTTCCCCAGATCTGTGTCTTGATAAAATCCTGTCTCTGAGCTCTACAGGCAGTTTCTTTGACCTCATGGCTTGGTTTTTGCCCTAATATGCTTTTACGCTGTGCCTTTCCAAATCATATCCATTTAATTGAATTTTCCACAGGTTAAGTCCACTTGAACATCTACAAGCGAAATTGGAATGCTCCTGAGCTAAATGTCAAGTGTCCCAGAAAAGGGTATGAATACTTATGCAATGTAATTATTTCAGTTTTGAATTTAATAAATTATCACAAATCTGTTTTTGATTTGTCATTATGGTGTATGGAGTGTAGGTTAATGTGAAAAAAGTATTTTAAAGTAGTTTAACATAAGGCAGCAACATAACAAATTATGTTTTATTAACAAAGTTCGGGAGGAGCACATTCAGATAATTAACACGAGTGGAGTGCACTCAGCAATCAACGATAAGAGATGTATATATAGATTCAGCAGACTCACCTCACTCCATTGATAGTTTAGCAGCATCCCTCCACCACCCCTTTTCCACACTCCTAGTCTTAACCATTTACATACGGGGGAGTACTCTGGGTTCGGGCCGAACTACGAGCTCGGAGCCCTCCCCCCCGGGCAGCAAGCCAAATACCCATTAAACTTTACTCCCTCTAATTGAATGTAAGTGTGAACTCGTGAAACTGTAAAAAAAAAAAATGAAGGGGGTTGAATACTTTCACAGACCACTGTATATTATAGGGAAATTACAGTTAAATCACATAAAGAGACTCCAAAAAGCGCACTGAAGACCAGAAGTTCAATCAGTTGACAGAGAGTTTACTGAAGGCAAGGTTCTCCACACCATAGAAAAATTACTTATGGACAATCAGTTGACGTAATTTTTACAGGTTTGGATAGGTTAACAGTACGGACAGTTTTAGCAACATCCGAACATGGTATTCTGTTCTTTATGCAAATGAGTTAATTTAAATTATTATTTAAATTAAATTATTATAATTTAAATTAAAAAATTATCTTGGACACACGTTGTTCTATATTTGTAAGAAACTTTGGTAAGTGTCATATATTCCAGAAGGACTCTTCTTATCTGGGGAAATGTTGAATTCTCCTGGAGACTATTCTTTGGCATGGTCACATGCCTCTAAAAGTATACAACTCCTTCAAGCACAATTGGATAAAACATAGGCAAGATCAGCTTTTCACTGCAAAACAGGAAAACTACATCCACAAAGGGCACCGAATAAAATGAATAAGAATAAAGTTCAAGATATAGCTATGATTTTCATTATATAATACAAGAAGGGTGACTGTAAATCCATCCCCTTCACTGGCGGTTGCCGGTTTCAAAAACACAAATGGAGTCGGTTCAGTCAACTTATATTTATGGGCAGACCATACCTTGTGGCAGAAAGTGACAGTTCTGCAGTAGCAATCTCTGGAAGCTTGTTTCCACCATGGAAAAAATTAAATGGGGGTTGCAAGTTTATATCTCACAATTCTGAGAAGAAAATCAGAATAGCGAGATATAAACTCACAATTTTGAGAAAAAAGTCAGAACTGTAATACATAAATGCCATAGGTTTAAATGGTATGTAAAATGTATAGGTTTAAACATTAAAGTGAGAAAGTTTTTAAACTGCACTTGCAAAGATAATATGGCTGCATACTGTTTTTTTTTAAACATTTGTGATAAGGTGAGTTCTCTTACGAGAGGTTCTCTCGTATTGCGTAAGTTAGTTTACGCTACGGGAAAGATTCATCTTCTCGAGATATTGAAGCCAAAAATTATCCTTAATTTTGTATTTATTGTCAACGCAGTGCAGCAGCTAGCAGACCTAGAGCAGGCTATCTTGTGTGCTCATTGGCTGCCCTGCGGCAACTGCAGCAGCCTACCAGTGAGCCCAGCGTGACGTCACGCCCAATGAAAGGCGCCCGCGGCTTCATAGCGTCATAGCCCACCAGAATGGGCGTGGCTTAGCGTATAAAAGTAGGGGCTGTAGGCTGATTTCCCTGGTTTTCGTCTCTTCAGCGTGCTCTTCACATCGCTGGATCTGAGAGAAGCCACCGCCGCCGTCGAACAGCGAACAGCCAGCTTAGGACAGTGCTGAGGAAGCCGGCCGTCTTCGCCACCTTCAGCCATCCGTGCGAGCTATGCTATCCGGCGACGTATCCTTTGCCTCTTGTATTTTCTTTTTCTAAAAGAGCAGCGAGCGTCTTTTTAAAGATGCCTCGCACCTCCTGCAGCTCGTGCAGGGCCCCGCTCAGCGTCGGAGACCGCCACGTCATCTGTGCTCTCTGCCTGGGCCAGGAACATGCAGAGCTCGCCCTCGCGTCCGGGGGCTGCGAGCTCTGTGAAGCGCTTCCGCTGTCGACCCTGCGGGCTTGACTCGAAGCCTTCAACCCGGAAGCAGTCACTCCGCCCTTTGTGGGACCGCGCAAGAAGAAGCGCCGTTCCCAAAGACAGCCGGAACCTGTGGCCACAGCGACGCGCTCGCCGGAGAACCTCCCTCGAGCCTCGCCTTCGCCTTCACCGCCTCCCTTCACCGACGCGCAGCTGCCACTCACGAGCCTCACTGCCGTCGCGTCTGAGGATGAGGCCGAGGCACACACCATGAAAGACTGCTGCTCCATCCTGGCATCGGATAGCGAGGAATGGTCGCTGCACTCCACCTCCTCGTCGATCCAGGAATCCGGCCGTACCCGTGCTGGAGCTGATGCGGAACTGATGCGCCATCTGATGCAGGCCGTTGACCGACTCGGGCTCGAGTGGTCGCCGCCGCAGGAATCTGCGCCGAACAGACTCGACGGCTCTTTTCTGCAAAGTCGCCGCCGTCCGGCTTCAGCCAGCAGGCCCGCTCCGTTCCAACGGAACTCCACACGGAGCTAACGAAGTCCTGGAATGCACATTTCTCCTCAAGACGTCAGTCCCATGCCTCCGCATCGCTCTCCCAAGTGGACTGCGCCGCCGAGAAAGGGTACATGGCTATCCCTCCTGTGGAAGAGGCGGTTGCAGTGCACCTCTGTCCGCCCTCTGCTAGATGGCGGTCGAGGTCAGCCCTCCCGTCTAAAGCCTGCAGAGCCATGTCCGCCCTTGTCGGCCGCGCTTATGCCGCCTCCGGCCAGGCTGCGTCCGCTCTCCACTCCATGGCTGTGTTACAGATCCTGCAAGCCGACCTCCTCCGTGAATGGGACGAGAAGGGACGTTATCCAGCTGCGGTTACAGATCTGTGAAGCGCGACGGACCTCTCACTCCGCACCACCAAAACCGCAGCTCAAGCCATCGGACGAGCCATGGCCGCGTTGACCGTCACAGAGTAGCACCCATTCTGAAATCCCTGGGATAGCTTCCCACGCTGCTATGCGAGTAGCTAGGGGGCGAATGGCCTCGGATTCTGATCGCTGCCATTTGCAGGCTCGAGACACCCTCTGGTTAATGCTCACTGATATGAGGGAAACTGAGCGCTCCGCCTTCCTGAACGCACCGCTCTCCCCCACTGGTCTCTTCGGCCTAGCGGTGAACGGGATCGTCCACCGTTTTTCTGAGGTACAGAAGACTACACAGGCCATGAACCTCTTCCTGCCGCGACGCTCGAGCTCCGCTACAGGCCGCTCTCGCGAACGAAGCCAGCCTCCTGTGCGAGCCAGCACTCAGCGTCCAGCACAGCCCCAGCCTTCGCAGCGACATCAGGGCGGCCGCCCTAGGTCGCGCTCGGACAGCCGTCACAGGCCGCCGCCCCCCAGGGGGCCTCGGCAGAAGATCACGCCCAACTGTTCACCCCTACACACAAGCCCAACACGTCCCGTGTCACTCACAGAGCACATTCTCATAAAGCGCAGAAAAGCCGCTCGAGTGTTGAATGTAAGAAATGTGTCCACAGGTTTGTGCCCACTATCTGCCTGCTCTGTTGCACGGCCGCTGAAGCAGGTTATGAATGTAAGTCTCGTGCCCGCCCGAGAGCGCTCACGCTTACTAACACACACCTCCCCCCGGGCGCTGTTATCACAAAACGCAGGGCGTTCATAAGACGCACCCCATCCAAAACGATAGGGGCGTCAGATATATTTGTGAGTCTCGTGCCCGCGCACATGCGTTCACGCTTACAGAAAGGTTTTTCCGCCCAGAGTGCTGCTCGCGAGTCAAAAGTGAAAAGAAAA